TGTTTCTAAAGAACCTGTCAGAGTATCTATCGTATCCGACCAAAACTAAGAAAAAGAATCTGAACTGAAAAAAGCAGCGAGCGATGATCATGGATTTATTAAACAAATAGTTTTATCTGAACTTCAGTTATATCAAAAATATATACAACATTTAATTAAGATGTTGAATTGAAGCTATTACAAATAGAATTTTAAAAGTTAATTAACAATCGATGGGAAACTTAGTTTTGGTAAGTCTTATCGTACGTAATAGAAAAATAGAAAAACCGCATTAGTCCTTATTGATTTATAACAAATTATAAAACGGTTTTAAAAAATAAATATACCTAAAGGGTGGATTGGAAACAAAAAATTGGCAACATTGTCTGATAAAATACATTATGAACTAATGTCAGTTGCACTCCCAAAGAGATTTTTTTTTTTTCTGAGAGTATTTCATTAGTGGAAATAATCTCAGGAAGAAGAAAAATCTCGTATGGAAAAACTTCTGAATTCGTTATACTATGATTCTAAATCTCTAAAATTTTTTGGTATTGTAAGTAAATTAGGTAAAAAATCTAAATTACTGCTGTCTGTTGTTAAAAACATTATTGTCTTTTTAACTAATTTATATGCTTTATAAACTTGTAATATTTAATTATTCGCAAATAAATACTAAATGTTTCTAAATTAATAACTTCGGCATTCTGATTTTATTGTATTAAAGCAATTTTCTAAATTTAACCTGTTATCACGCGCCCACATTTTTAATTAGTTCACATAATAATTTAATTTGTTTGAAATATCTGAAAATGGAAATAACTTGATTTCAAGCGAATAACTTCATAATAAACTCAAATTTGACCAAAAACTAATTTAATATTTCTATTAGTATTTTCACATTATTTTATAAAGTTTTGTGACACCATGCCTTATTTAATTTTTGCATTTTTTTTAATTTTATGAATGTAAAAATGTGAGTGACTGTAATATATAAATTTAAGAATTTTCGTTTATTAACTGCATCTACGCGAATATGTATCCCGCAGATACATTGTGGTTTTTTTATTGATTTCTTTAAAATAAAACAGTTGGAATTCGGACTTTTTAGCATTTTTCAACTGACATGTTTTGATGCGATTACCACAGTAATTTTCACGTTTATGAGCTTTATTTCAGAGCGATTTTACGGAAACCAATATCTTTTCATGACCTGCAAAAGATTTTCTCGCAGTGTGAGAGCGCTGTAATTTGGCTATTGTTATGTGCAACAATATTATTCTTTAGTATAGATTATGATCTCACCAACATGTCTAGTTCAAAAATAAGAAAAGGAGAGAGTTAGAATTCAGATTTAAGTAGTAAGAAGATTAGAGGGGTAAAAAAAAGGAGAAAGAGAGATGGACAGAGAAAGGAAAGTATGAATGTTTTATGCATGACTGCTTCTAGACGATTGTTTAACCGAACTAAACTTAATACAAAAAGCAGTGTCCCATGCATGAGACAGGATTAAGAAACAATGTACAACAGATGTGAAACGCACTTCACTTTAACCTACAGATAATACTCGCTTGACGATGATATACACGTTGGAAAAGATCAATGATGACTAACTGTCAATGTCGCTTGTTCCACTCGGGTTAGCGATTTCACTAGGAAGAGGGCCACAACAGATACAATGCCTGGCAAGCACGATCTTCTTGATGAAGGGAGTTTTTTAAGACAAAATAATAAAACAATTGACACCACATTGTTTCAATGTTAGTGTAAAGACATTAATTAATTAATTAATTATAATTTTTAAATTTTTTGTGTCATTCTAGTATAGTATATTGACGTTTCAAAATGTTTAATATAAAAAATTTACTTTAGTTTTATGAATATCAATAAACTGCAATAACTGTCTATATTTTTAAATAAACTGAAATACTCTTTGCCTGTTTGATGTCATTATATCTTAAAAGAGGCCATTTTTAAAAATATTATAAGCTGTTGACAACTATATCAATATAAGATACGATATATAATTTTGTATAATGGTTATTGTTAAGTTCAGGTCGAGACAATTGAAAACGTAAGAAAAATATTTCAACTTATTCATTTTTTAAAAAACAAGTTTTTCATTTTTCCATGACTAGTATGAAACATCTACCCTAATAGAAACATTTAAAAATTCATAATCTTTACAGAAAAATATTTTAAAAAAAGAAAATATATTTTAAGAATCAATTTAGGTTTTATTAAATATATCTCATTATACTCACTTTCGTTCGAAAAAATATAATCGAAACACAGAGAAAATGAGATAATCAGGAAAACAACTTTCATTTTCGCAATGTTCACTCCGAATATTCACAAATTTACTTGTTCAGTACATTAACATTATCAACAACACGAATTGTTTACGGATTGTCGTAATGAAAATAAAGTATACTCTTATTTTAACCCACGTGGTAAATTTTTTTAATTAAAACACAAAATGAACACTGTTCCAGGAGCTCTTCGATTAATTATTGAGAGGAACGAAATTGCAGTTTAATTTAGTGTCTGTTCTATTCAAGTGCCAGATAATTAAAAAGAATTTTGACACACGCGAACAATATACGCTACATAATTATTTTCTATATTGACGTAAAGGTAATAACATGCTTTATATTTTATGCATGTATCATGGTTCGAATTTAATTTACAGATTATTTTATAGTTTTTAAAATTCGCAGTCCTATTTTTGTGTGAATTGCTTGAGAATTATATAACTTTTGAATAACGAAAATGACTTGCCAGAAGTTGTCTAATTTCTACACAACATAGAAATAAACAGAAACTTTGCCAATGTCATATAACTCTTAAGAAAATGATTCCTCTATGGCAACAAATGTAAAAAAAAATTTCACTTTGGTATACAAACATGTAAATAAATACAAACTTCATAACAAGGAAAAATTTTATTTTCTGAAAAGTGTTTTGATCGACAGATAATACACAATTGAAAAGAAATCACAAGTTTTTTTTAAAGCCATTTAAAAGTGTGAAGCAGATGGAGAAGGCACGAGACTTTCCTTCTGACAGTGGATGGCTGGATTGCGAGTGGGAAGAGGTAACGAGGTTGTCGATAAAATGTCGGACATAGACGAGATAACGCAACCCAATAGATAACAAGTTTAATATAAAAACAAAAAAACATAAGAAAATTGTTTTTCAATATTTTATTTAGCCATTCCAGAATAAAATAATATTGTCAGAAGAAACTGCAATTTTCTGTACTGTGTTTATACAGTAAGATTGTATTGTCGATTTCGAAACAATAGTACTTCGCAAGAAATGTGTTATAATTCGTTGATAGAATTTTTCTATAAGTAATCATTCGTAAATTACAGAAACACACGAAACTATAAAATTTTGTAGCTGTAAAAATTTTCATGGGCCGCAACTTTTTTAATCTATAATAAAATAATATTTAGTTCATTCCATTGTCACGTTTGTAGAGTTGCAAATATATTGAATATTCATAAAGAACAAATAAAATTTAATTATATAAATATGTGATTTAGTTTGTAACTTTTTATAAATATGTAAATTTATATTTACAATAATTTCAATATTTAGCTGTAAATTCGTTGAACTGAATGCAATGGAAGAAACTTCATGACGATAGAAGACGAAAAAATAAAAGGGTTAAGTAAAATACTTAAAAATGTGTAAAATAATATCACAGTTGTTATGGTAACATTTTAACTGTGATTAATTTACTGTGCGGTGTACAGAGAAAATCGTTACTATTGTTTACGTGACAATCTTGAAATCGATAAAGTAATTTAAGCTGTTTTCATACTTTTTCTAGCATATACTTTATATTTATAATATACAAAATCCTAATCAAAATAATAGCGAAGCGTGTACATCATAAAATTAAAAATGATCTGTAAATATATTAACCAATCAGATATAAATTTATTATTACAATATCTATCTGTTTAATCAAAATCTGTTTATTAATTCGTTTATTTTGGTTTTATTCAAATGTAATAATCAAGAAAGTTAAGCAAATTAAAATTTCTTGCATATGTGAATGATGAATATCCAATAGTAGCATATTTTGCATGAGATTTTTACAATGCTATAAAAACAATAAATGGTGAAAATAGTCTACAGTAAGTTTATATAATATGTTTGAACGTTTATGTATTCAAAGTTTATGGAAAATTCCAGAGAAAATTATTTTGTAAACTGCAATGTAGTTAAGTAAGGAGATAACTCAGCAAACTATTATTGTGTTTGCAGTAATAATAATTTGTGTCGGTTTGCTCATACTGTTGATTTTATTTATGGATTGAATATAAACAGATTATTGCCTAAAAGGAAACAGATTTTATATTTACGCTCATTTTTTATAAGCAGAGAAAAAATTGAATAGAATAAATAAATCCGGGTCATCAGATTTCTCCCATCGTTAAACACAAAATAATTTCAAATAAATCATTTCAATAAATAAGCACAGAAGAGACAAAATGTAGCCTAATATAAGTAATAATATAGGACTGATTACATCATCGACAGATAACTCGTGTAATTCTGAAGTTTGCAACACACGAGAATTTTCACTGTAATCGATTTTTTCGATAATTCCGGATTCAAATAAACGACGAATTCTGCAAATAGCGTTTTAGTTAACATTTCGAATAGAAAAAAAATATTAATTATAATATTAACTTACATTTTATTTATTTGATTTGTAAATGGAAAACTTTTCTTCATCGCATAAGCTTCCATAAATGTAGAGAATTTGTCATTCGAAAATACATATTTGTTTAAGTCTTCTTTCGGGATATACTTTTTTATTACATAATCACTGTATATTAAAGCAAATCTTTCTTTCTGCAGTTTTCCCATTGCTTCTGATAAACTAAGAAAGTTGTTGTTTTGTATTATGTGGTTTCCTATAATTTTAGAACTTTTCAATTTGGAACTCTATAAATTATAGAAACGTCAAAGTTTACTTTTTAATAATATATAACTAAACTCTATACTACAGGTATACTTACACTTATTGATCTCCATATCGTGGCTTTACCGATAGTTCCACAAGAATATTCATTTGTAAGAACGGAATTTGATAATTCTTCTATTGTTCTTGGAACAGATTCAGTCAAGGGATAAGTCAAAAATGACATTAGAGTTCCGCTATAACTAGATACAATGACAACGATTGATAACCACCATATTCCTATCAAAAATCTTGATGGAAACCTTTTTACAAAGTAGAGATTCATTCCTGTTGATACAGAATTTAATATGGAAAGGATAACTGTTATGAATTGTACAAAAATAAATCATCTTACCTTCATTTACAAAGGTACAAAACAAATTCCAGAAGACCTCACTTCTTCTCAAAAATATTTTTGTACCTTGCAAAGAAAAGTCCAGTTCTAACACTTTGTGTAACGCTAATCCAAACGCAATCAGGCAAACAAACAAAGAGATCCACACCTGTAAAATTGAAATACAGTATTTCATTTTCAATGAATTTTTTTTCTTAAATAATAAAAATTACTTGCCGTAAGAGAAAATGGAGCTATAATCGAACCCCAGTTGGATAGTTTTTCAGGAGCTTTAACAACAAACACTATGTTGTGATATCCAACCGTTGCAGAAAACTTCATTGAGGAGAACAAATCATAACTAATAAAGAACGGGATTATTCCCATATCCACATCCTGAAATCGAAAAATGAGTTCATTATAATTTAATGTTGAGAAATGAATTCCAACAAAATATTGAATTTAAAAGTTCGGTAAAATTGCACTTAAGTAGCCTTATGGCAGCACTTCTAGGTGTCACAATGTTTTTGAACGTGACATCCACAAACAAGATAATGACCAGCGCAGCTACTTACTACACCAACATTTAAAGTAAAATGTCTTTCACTCACTATTGACATATTTCTAATTTTTTTTTAATTTCATCGGTAAAATAGATGATTAGAATGATTATTTCACGACTTTATCCGTTTCCATCGTATAAACTATTTCCGCATTTCTTAACACACATGTATACGTTCTTAATCGTACGATTTACAAATTTATTATTACTGTACTTATNAAAATGAAAATTACTTGCCGTAAGAGAAAATGGAGCTATAATCGAACCCCAGTTGGATAGTTTTTCAGGAGCTTTAACAACAAACACTATGTTATGATATCCAACCGTTGCAGAAAACTGCATTGAGGAGAACAAATCAAAACTTATAAAGAACGGGATTATTCCCATATCCACATCCTGAAATCAAAAAATGAGTTCATTATAATTTAATGTTGAAAAATGAATTCCAACAAAATATTGAATATAAAAGTAACCTTATGGCAGCACTCCTAGGTGTCACAATGTTTTTGAACGTGACATCCACAAAACAAGATGGTGACCTGAGCAGCTACTTACTACACCAACATTTAAAGTAAAATGTCTTTCACTTACTATCGACATATTTCTAATTTTTTTTTCTAATTTCATCGTCAAAATAGATGATTAGAATGATTATTTCATGAATAAATCATAATATTTCATGATAATAAATCCGTTTCCATCGTATAAACTATTTCCGCATTTCTTAATACACGTTTTTAATCGTACGATTTACGGATTTATTATTACTTATATTTACAGCTAAACGTACAATCACTGGTTTATTCCGAAATAAAACACGTCTCGCTCATGGATAAAATGTACTCGTATGCTAAACTAATAGGCCAAACCGTTCTAGTTTATTTCTATTTGTCTGCAACTATCACGTCGATTTCGAGATCATTTCCAGAAACACCAATTTTAATTCCAAGACAATTACACTATGAAACTACAACTGATTTTAATATAAAATTTGTCCAGTCACCAGCTGTTCGAATACTTGGACCAACAGGCAAACGTCACATTCGTTTTATGCAAATGAGATGGAAAAAAACGAGCAAAGTTCTCTAAGAAATTTTCATAAATTTACATTTACAAATAACAACAAATGACGAATTGCTCAACTTGTATTTATGACACAAAAACATAACAACAATTCTTTCGAAAAATTAATTTACTATGACTATCACAATTCGAACTGTCTGCATCTGCATATTGCATATGAAACTTCTGTCAAACATAACAACTGATAATTTTTTTTGTCAAAGTGTAAAGGAATTCTATTTTTTTCTATTTTATTTTTCTATCTGGGTTTATATGGCTATTTTAGCATTGTTGGCTCTTCCCCGAAATGCGCCGCTTGGTGGTGAGATGAAACGGAATAGGCTTTTGTAATCGTTAAGGAATTAATCTAAAACAAAAGTAAATTTAGCTTTTCGTAAACTAATAAAGCAACACCTAAATCAACGTTCAAAGCAAGCTTGTTATCGAAATTCTGGAATTGCCGCCATAAAAACCATTCAGATGCTCTTGTACTACTGTTGCCATCAAACCGCTTTTCAACCGGACAAGCCGGCTTTTCAATTCATGGTCCAGATTAATTATTAATTGGTCCGGTTATCGTACGCATTGTGAAATTATAATGAAACAAAATAAATTTAGGTAAATATTTGCGAAAATTTTATTTTAACGATTAAAGACTTTAACCTCACACACTTACTCAAACTTATGCCCAGACTAAACGTGACAAAAAATGTACTTTTAAAATTCTAACTTGAAATATCTCCAGCAAATATTAACCACTTGCCACTCATCGATTAATTAATTTTATGTAATTAAGCATTTAAAATACTTAAAACTGAAAAAAACGAAAGAAATGCGTTAATTTTGAAGAAAAAGCTACAAATTTTATTTTCCTTTGTCTTGCCATTCTGTGAAATTTGACACTGATGAGTCATTATTTACACTGCTGGATGACAGTGAGAACAGCTGGAGTCGGATTTCCCAGGGCATTCTCATAGACGTCTCGGGAGGACAAGGGTTTAAAGTAGGGTGAATACTAGCTGACCGTATATTTTTAAATATTTTTAAAAAATTAAAATTTTAATTGCGATTTCTGACACCCCCGACTTAATTAAACTTATATATAATAAAATATATTAATTTAAAAAATTAAAAAACTATTGGATGTCGTTTTTGACATCAGAAAGTAGCTTTAAATAACTTTACCAAAGTTAAATTCGTGCACTATAACTTTAGAACGATTAATTAAATTTTATTACAAAAATCCCATTAAAAAACAATTATGCCTTAATCGAGCCTTATCAAAGGTTAACTAAAATCGCGATAAAACTTTTTTCCGTGTGCAAAAATTTTTGAAAAATTTGGAGAATTTAGAAACATTCCAAAAGTAAAAAAAATTGGGGGCCGAAAGGATTGCATTTTTTTGTAACGATACGTAACATGCCCGAGTTAACTCGGGACTGGATATCATGTATTATTCTTAAATTTATGTATTATTTTTCGACATTAATATAGAGCAATTTTGAAAAGGTGACAAGACTGACTTTTACCAAAAGATTTATTTAGATTTAAAAAAAAATTTATTCCTTAAATACATGTGATAGTAAAGAAAAATACGAATCACGTAATGTAAAGGTTTGAATATTGGCCAAAATGAGAATTTCCAATTATAGTTATTTGACGATTGCTAAAATGTAAAACAATTTATAGGCGACATGTATTTCAAACACGACTAGACAAAAAGCAGACCTTTCCGGTATCGATATAATACTTATTTACTTATTCTGGGCATATGTTTTTGTCTTGTCCCATATCTACTTCTGAATAAATGTGAGAATAAAGTCACATTCAAACAATTATATTTGGTATATAAGTTAAAGCAATGTTTTTCAACTTGTGGGTCGCGACCCCAGGTGGGATCGCAAAGTCTTACACGGGGAGTCGCGGGTGAAAGAAAAAAAGAAGTGTTTGTAGGTTCTACACTATATTAAAAAAACTACAATATCAGCGAGAAGGCTGTACCTGCTCATAATACAGTACAGTTGGTTTTTTTATAGATATTTAGGTCTGAATGATGGGTGTCGCCTGGGAGGGGTCTGGGATTATGATTGCCGAATAAGTGTTGAGCTGACTTGTAAAAAGAAGTAATAAGTAGAAAAGTAGAAGTGAAAAATCCTCATCCTAAAATAAAAAAAAACGGTCAACAGTACTTCGAACCCATTGTAATAAGAAAGTGACATACTATACGTGTCTTAAGTTATTGTCGATTCTCCATAAATTCTCATTTTAGTCAACAGTAATTTATATCAGCAGAAAGAATATTAAATACATAATGTTTTAAATTACTGATATAATTTCAATATGGCCATAGGAAGAACGCCAGAATTTTTTAAATTGTAAAGAAGTCACGTATTCAAAAAGGTTGAAAAACACTGAGTTAGAGTGTAAACGTTATTTATACAGTTTAAAGGAAAACGTAAAAGAAGATAGATCTAAGTTTATTTTTCTCATATAAAAACTACTTAATTTTTTTCATAACATATAAGTATAATGGCTCAGACAAAGGGATCTACAGACTATCGTTATTTAATGAATGAAAAGCTAGTGATAACTTTTGATACGCAGTTAATAAACTGGAATTTTAAAAGTACAGGAATACTTTTTCAAAAATTTTAAAAGATTTTCATTGTCTGATTTATAAGAAAAATTCAATAGAGATTTAATTTAAGATTGAAATGGTATTGTTAGTAATAAATGTAAGTTAAACACAAAAATTATTTACCAATGATATTTAGAAAAAGTATATTAATTAAATCACCTATACAAATAGAACTAGTTAACTTTTAAATTCCTGTATATAAGTAAGGTAAGTATTTATTAATTATATTAACAAATTTTGTAATGATTACAAAAGCAATATAGAAAACTTTATTAGTTTACACGCAATTTTACCTTCTGAAAAAAATTGATTAATTAATTTTCAGAAAAATAATTACCGTAATACTCACCATAAAAATTATTCTCGCCATATTTATTCGATGTATAATGAAAATGTATCATGCAGATTATGCTTGAATACTTAGTGTTTTAGATTTTTCGTTTGGTGGAAACCATTTATTCTATTTTTAAATACGTTTTGTCTATAGGAAACCTTTCTGCAACCCCCTTAATTTTGCACATTTGTTCGCAACTCAAAGTCTTTCACTTTATTGCGAGTAAAGAATATTGTGAGAAAATTAAATTATTTATTAAAAAAGTAGTACTTTAAGAATTACTATATGCAAAACAGGTGCTAAGTTTTAATATGTTTAAATTTAGATGTTCACAACCTCATGTAACGGTTTTATTTCTACTAATTTTTTATTTACAGAACAATTGTATCGATAAGTTAGTAATTATAATACAGCTATAATACAATGAATAAGCTCAGAGTTTTAAGAATTAATTTACTTACTTGTCTGGCAATTTTTCCAATCATTTCCGTCCATGTTCCATTTTCGCTTAATCCTCCGAAGTAATCGTCAACTGGCTTAGCAATGGAATAACTAATTGTATAAAAAATTATACATTTCTATTAAGAAGTAACGTTATGTAACTTTTAAAATAATGTGAGGTATTCTCCAAATATGAATATTGAAAACAAAGAACACTTCAGTGTAATAGTTGATGATGTGTTTATAATATCTAAGCATAAAATAAAAATTTAATTCAAAAAAATATTTTAAAATAAACTTTAATCGATCTAACTACGTAGACATTAAATTGGACAAGAAAGCAAAAAAACTTATCTGTCGGCCGAAGAAACTTTTTATATTATTGTAAATTATGTAAATTTGTGTCAGCAATATTTACTCAAGACTGTGTCCAAAATGTGGTACTGACTTCATTGAGTATGAAATTGGAGAAATCGAAACGTTATGTAAAGCTAAGTTATGCAAATACACTACATGCAAGACGTATGAAAAATAATCTATTTCGAAAAAGAAAATTTCGAATAGTCGCATTCATCCTACAAATAAGTTGTAAAGATGGGCAGACAAAATATCAGGAAAAAGCACGAACATAAATGACTAGAAAAAAGCGAGATTGCATCTATCAACTTTTGAAAACAAGTTGTTTATCCTACTAAAACAGAACAGATGAATAAAGTATTTATCTCTTAAATGCCCAATTTTGAATTTCTTCCACATTAAAGTATTATCCTTATTCCATCACACGCATAGATTATATTTTTATGTTTGTTAATATAGAGAAAAGTATACAATGCCATCGAATACACAAAGAGGTTTATATAATAGGATAATGAAAATATTCGTTCATCGGTGAAAAAGGAGTTTCCCATTTACCATGAAAAGGAAATACGGCCGTGTTACGCACAAAACTGTAACTTCCATAATAGATGAATTAACAAGTAAATGATCTGAGCAAGTAAGCATCTGAACAGTCTCTAGTCCCAAGGGGCCTCAAAAATTTATACCATAGAAATTAATTTAAGTTTAGTTTTGTAAGAAAATTTTCTTATACAATTAAACAAAATATATTTTACTCTTTATTTTTTAAATTGTACCTTATTTTATATCTTTGATATACATTTCAACAATAAAGCATTTATTATTAAAACTAATATGTTATTTCTCTTCTACTTATGATTGACTTTTAAAATTGTAAAAGTGTCTCATACAGAGTTCATATTAAGGTCTCTAAATGCATAAGTTGAATCCTGATCGCCATACAGGTTATACACCGTTAGGAGAAAGCCGATATAAGGAGAATCGGTCTGATATATTTTTCTGTAAACTCGTCCGTGCAATGCTTTCTGAATTTAATATATGAATATGTACGATCGAATTAGCTCCTAATAAATTACGTTAGATTTTTATACAACGGAACTCACATGGATTTTCAACACCTTATAGATTAACATAAAAAATATAACTATTTAATTTATTTATTGTCTAAATATTTATAACTTATCTATTTATATTGTTTTATTATTTTTTCTTATAAATAAACAATTAAACAAAATTCGAAATAATTATTACAGTACCGAAATTGTAATTTATCCTGAAGAACTTTGATAACTCGGAATCGATGTCCTCCTATCATTTTATTTTCAGATTCATCGAGTGTTACGAGATATGGTTTCTGAAAGACAAATAGCGACATTTTAAATATGTACTGTATATTGGTGTTATAAATGCGATATTATGAACATTACCTTTATCGCAGCCAGTGTCCATTCGTACGAATAATTTCGCTCAACTGTAAAAGTCAGATAAGTTGAAAGACGGAAAATTTCACACAAAATAAATAATACATTATCAGAAGTTACTACAAAAATAAGAGTAATTTCTGTTGGAAAAATATTTATGCAGTAAAAAAGAATAAAACTAAATAACACCTTATTATGGAAAACGTTATTACAGTTGTAACAGGTAGTTAGAGTATCATTGAAAAGAAATCAATTTATTATTAACAAAAGTACAATAATATAAAGATATTTGTATTATTAATTTAATCGCTTTTCTAATGTGTGTAGTTAAATACGGTTTATGCTAGAACACATTTTTTAAACGCTGACTTATTATTACACTGGATTTATCATATGATAATAATTAAATATCAAAGATTTGTTTTATGATTATTTTATTAATATATCTGTAAGGCATTTGTGCTTTAAAGAGTCATTACTGTTAGCAATGTCAATGTAAATATACTCGTGATTAGTTTCATGATTAGTTGTTTATACCAAAATGTTTCAACGAAGTTGAACATATTTGGTTTTCATTACTGCTGTAAAAAGACAAACGTTAATTTTCTCTAAAGTTGAGGAAAACAGTTAAAATTAAAGTGAGATCATTTTTCATTTTGGTATGTGCATCATTTGCTTTTTTGTAACTAACGAAATAAGTAGAAAGCTCATATATTACTAGAAACATTTTTTACATTTTAATTTTTGTTCAAAATTAACATTGATTTTCTGTTGCCCAAGATGAATTCTCACTTTTCTTTTGCTGATAAACATGCCATGAAGGTTATATTTATGATCTCGACTATTTTAAACCATAACTCTTCATTAGACGTATAATAAACTTTGTTACTCGAATATAATTATGTAAAAAACAAAACCGATCAGCTATGAAAATTGTTTACGCAATTTTTCGCATGTTCTGTTAACACGTAAGTGATATTTTCATATATATATCACCGTATGCATATAAATAAATAAAATACAAAAGCGCAGACTTTAAAAATAAATCCATTAAGCATTTTATAAAGTATACATTATCGTAATGGAAAAAACATGTAAATAGAAAAAAAATATCTAAAATGCATTAGTTGAGTGGCATTAATCAATAGAACTCTATTAAAGTTTTACTAAAATATTATAAAATAAAACATTATGTTTTGTTGGAATATAACATATTTATGTTATATTCTAACATATAACATATATGACAATTCATGTTATATAATATATATAACATGAATAGTACAGAAATTTATATATTTAAAAATTTTTTCAAATATAAACATTATTTGTTTTATAAATAAACTTATGTAATCAATAAACAAAATACTGTATACATAAATTTCTATAGACAAAAAATGTTCAAGAAAGCGAATACAGTGGAAATTGTGTTTAAATATTTTATACAGATACTAGCTGTTACCCGCGACTTCGCTGGCGAAAATTTTGCAAGCAAACCCCATTTACATTTAGTATTTCAACAATTATAGTAATTGTTATATAACACCTACCGCTGAGAATGATGAGAATTGCCGAGAATCAAACGAACTATTTTCAATTTGATCAATTTTCTGGGACGTATATAATCGTTTTATAATCGAACCAATATGCAATAAAAAATTCGAATTTAAAACGGTACGAACATTTGGATGAAGAATCGAAATATATAGAAATATTTATAACAATGTCTGAAATGTTATTAATTTAATACACCTAAGTACTCGATGAAAACTAAATCCTCTCTCTCTCCCGCCCGCGGGGAAATTTCGAAAAATCCCTTTTTAGTGTGCATTGCCATGGCATACCCTACTAAAACGCAGATAAAAACAAAAAGTCGCATCTAAAATTGTACAATAGAAGCCGTTATTTCCGGTTAAGCCTTAATGCTCTCCCTCTCTCCCCCGCAGAGGAATTTCGAAAAATCCCTTCTTCGTTTGCGTTTCCATGACGTACCCTGTCTACTAAATTTCACCTCTTTAGGTTGAGCGATCTGCTCTTGGCGATGGTGAATCAGTAATTGAGTCATTTATTCAGTCACTCAGTCAGGACAAGCGATTTTATATATTTAGATTACAGGTAATTGCAATACATAAATATATTAACAATTTGCAAAAGTGCTCTCAAGACACTTTAAAATAAATAAAAAAAAATTTTAGTTTGCGTTTATAATTTTGTTCTCATATTCAGGTGAATTTTACTTAATGGTATATGTGAAGATGTGTAATGCTTTAACGAAATTTATAGTTTACGTCAATATACAAGAAATGGCAGAAAATTTCAGTGCAATGTATTTTATAAACAGTGTTTAAATAGAATTAATTAAAGTAATTAGGTTACAACATTTAGAACTAACCGATATTACTGTTTGAGATCTTAGAAAAAACAGCTGTTTTAATTTGTATTTTATACAACCGGAATTTTTGCAATTGACACTTGCAGATTTTATTCTTACATTACTCATATTTCCTTGCAAAGTAATTACATATATTTGCAAAATAAAACAGAGTGGTAAGAACGAAATTGTAATAACTGTGTTCGTGCCATGAATCAGTTATTACAAAAATAAACAGTAAAACACAATCTCTTTCTTCGTATTTTAGTCTAAACATTTGCATTTTAGTCCAGTACTTGACTTAAGATTAGAGATTTAATTAAATATCATATCATATATGATTATAAATGACTATACCTTAGAATACTTTTAAAATATGGCGTTTGTATAAAGCCGTAATGATGTCGAACATAGAATATTTCATAATTTTCAATATAGCAAATTATTATTGCAGTAAGTAAATGTAGATTAAATTTTAAAAAATTGAAAGTTATTAAAATAATACAATATAATAATTAAGCACAGGTTGTATATAAAAAAATTATCAACTTTTTACATAGAATAGTTTGAAAGATCAATTTACTTGTTTAAAATTATGTGTAAAATTTCACATTAGATAACATAAATTTTTCAACTTCTGTGTTCAAATATGATAAAGTTTACGTAGATTAAAAGTCAATTGCTACATTTTTTAGTTTTACAACTTGAAGATATTTATATTGACTTTATGACACCATTAAACAAAATGTATTATTTTAAACCGAATTTATATAATACTAGCTGCAAGAACCCGCTTCGCTGGATTTTTATTTGTATGTAATATAGTTTTTTTTATATATATAAAAGATTGTTTCTCTAAGTAATCTAGAATCTAGCTGCAAGGACCCGCTTCGCTGAACAAAAAGTAACGATAATGAAGATTAAGATAATTACATTAAAGCTAATCTTACCCTTTTTCACAGAATGCAAGAATTAGGTCCTTCGTTTCCAGACTAATTAGAGAATTTTTACGTTTAGTGAAACGAACTATTTTCAACGTTTCTGGAACGTTTACAATCGTTTTATAATCGAACCAATATTCGAATTTTATGTTTGAATTTAATTCGAAGAAATTCGAACAAAACATTCGAAATAGAAAGCCACTTTCAACCACTTTCAGCCTCATATCTCCCGCACCCTTATAGCTATCGAGACGCAACCACCCCTATGCACGAATGGAGACTTGGGGCTACC